GCCTTTGTTCAATAACTCTTGAAGTTGTACCTTTAACTCTCTTAACTCTGCGGGAGCCATTCTATAAGGGGGTATAGAAATAGGGCGTGTGCCCGGTTCGAGATCGATACAGAAGTCAATATCCCTATCTGGTGGTATACCAGGAAGATCTGCAGGGAACACATCCAGAAACTCACGGACTACTGAAACCGACTCAATCGAAGGCACTTGGGTAGTGTCATCCTTGAGATGTGCCAAGAAAGCTATACACCCTTTACTAACCATTTTCTTAGCACAAAGAAAGGAGATGATACGCACCGGATTGGAAGTGTAGTCACCCTCCCACACTAACGGATCTGTCCCAGGCTTGGCTAACGTCACCGTTTTAGCATTACAATCCAAGATCGCAAATTGCGGAGAAAGCCAAGTCATACCCAGAATTACATCAAAATCATCCATTTCTAAGATAACCAAATCTACATAAGTGTCGCTCCCCACAAAGTTCACCAAACAAGACCTATACACCTTTTCAACTACCACAGACTCACCCACCGGAGTAGAAACACGAATAGGCATATCAAGTAATTCACAATGTAAAGTTAGACCATTAGCAAATGAGGAAGATACATAAGAAAATGTGGATCCAGGATCAAACAATACAGAAGCCATGCAATCAAAAACCAAAAGATTACCTGTGATGACAGCATCAGATGCCTCCGCTTCAGACCGCCCAGGGAAAGCGTAACAATGGGCCCTATCGTTCGTCTGTCCGTTGCCCCTACCTTGTTGTGATGTAGTGGCTCCAGTTTTCCCATCACCTCGGCCGTTTTGGTGACCACCATTTCCTCGACCACCACGTCCTCCAGAATAACGGCCTCTGCCATGACCACCTCTACCTCTAACATTTGGAAGGTCTGTAATCTGTTTTGGACAATATCTCTTAATATGTCCAATCTCCCCACATCCATAGCACTCTCTGGGTTCATGCATAGGTCTCTCAGAGAAGTGTTGACCGGTCGGAGGTGGACCCCCAACTACAGTCTGTAGTGAAGACTAAATGGGTCGAACTGCGTAACTTCCCGAACCCTGTCCTTTAGTGTAAGAACCACTAATCTCACCTCCCTTTCAAAACCTTTTTGATGTCGATGTCGGGGTGAAGTCGTCTGGCTTCACTCCTTCCACTTCTATCACAAAGTCTACCACCTCTTGGAAGGATTTGCCGTTGCCGCAATCTGTAAAGGCCGAAATCCGCAATTCTGACCACAACCCTCACAAACCGTGAATTTGCTCTTGTGGACTGAAACACAGTTGGGTGGCATACCAGGATAATGCACGAAACTTAGCCTCATATGCATTGACCGACATCCTACCTTGCTCTAGGCTCAAGAACTCATCCCTTTTCCTATCCCTCAATGTCCGAGGGATATACTTCTCCATAAACAAGTTAGAGAATGACGCCCAAGTCATAGGTGGTGCTTCTGTTGGTTGACACTCAATATGTGACCGCCACCACATTTTGGCGTTCCCTTGAAACTGATAACTCACGAACTCAACACCAAACCGTTCTACTATACCCATCTTGTGTAGTAGCTCATGACAGTCAACCAGAAAATCGTAAGCATCCTCAGATTCCGCACCCTTGAAGTCGTGAGGTTTCAATTTCAAGAACTTACTGAAAAGTTCATGCTGATCATTTGTCATTATAGGCCTAGTAGTCAGACGTGGAAACGTGCCTATTTCCAATGGAACATCCATGCGGGGAGCCATAGTAGCTGCATGTTGTACCTCCGGAGCCTGAGGTGCTGGTGCAGAAAACACTGGGGGTGTCTGGCCCTGATCAGATAACCCGCTAAGATAAGCCAGAACCTGATTGATCATCTCTGGGGTAGGTTGGGGTGGCAATCCCTCATTCTGCACTTGTTCAGTTTCCCCATCCTCCCCTTCTCTTGTTACTTCCTTAGTCGGTGGAGGAGTCACTGCCCTAGTATCAGATGGGCTAGGTGCTCGTCCTCTTCCCCTAGAGGACGTCCTCCCACGACCTCTACCACGGCCCCTTGCCGCTGTTCTTCCTCGAGCCACAGCCCAGTGGCTGGCTCAGTTGTTTCTTGTCTAGCCGGTGTTGGTGTTGGCGTAGTCGTTGCTCTAGTTCTAACCATCTGTGAAAGAGAGTGAAGATGGTCAGATACCAATTCGTATCGCCTAGATACCAATTGGACTCAAGTAGTAGCACGAAAGAAAGAATGAAAGAGTGAAATTTTTCCTAAAGTCTTATAGCCTCTCAAGGAAAAGTAAAGGCGTCCCCCTACCGTTCCTTAAGACTCTACTAGACCTGTTCTTGTGTGATGAGACCAATGAACCTAATGCTCTGATACCAAGTTTGTCACGACCAAAATCCGGGCCGCGACTAGCACCCACACTTACCCTCCTATGTGAGCGAACCAACCAATCTAGACCTTAACATTTCAGTGTAATATCAACATAAAGTAATGCGGAAGACTTAAACTCATTAATAAAAACCAATTCAATAACTATTATTTCCCAAAATCTGGAAGTCATCATCACAAGAACATCTACGATCAAATGACTAAACTAAGAATATTCTAAAAAGCTAAAAATACATAAGAAGCTAGTCCATGCCAGAAGTTCAAGGCATCAAGACTTGAAGAAGAAGATCCAGTCCAAGCTAGAAGAATTAGCTCACCCTAAATTTCCGATGGAGTAAGACTGGCTTGAGTTACTGTTGAGTCGATGATGACGGCACGTTTGCTGCACTCCACAAATAAATAAGAAGAAAACAATAAAAGTAGGGGTCAGTACAAAACACGGGTACTGAGTAGATATCATCGGCCAACTCAAAATAGAAAACAGTATGTATTAAGCAATATCATAAAATCAACTAATATCCTTAGCATGCAGCATTTACAGTTACCATAACCCTTGGTTACAACACAAAGCACATCAATGAGGACTCACACCTCCTCATCATACTCATTTGGGAATTCAGTTCATTAGATTAAATATATTAACGTATTTCAAGATTTATTATCTTTATTCCCCTCGTGTCGGTACGTGACACTCTGTTCCTCAATATACTATCCTGGTGTCGGAACGTGACACTCTGATCCTCATTCTATCCTGGTACCGGAACGTGGCACCAGATCCATATTCTATCCTGGTGTCAGAATGTGACACCCGATCCTCATATACTATCCTGGTACTGGAACGTGGCACCCGATCCATATTCTATCCTGGTGTCGAAACGTGACACTCCGATCCTCATATTCTATCCTGGTACCGGAACGTGGCACCCGATCCATATTCTATCCTGGTGTCGGAACGTGACACTCCGATCCTCATATTCTATCCCGGTATCGGAACGTGGCACCCGATCCCCTAATCTCACTACTTTCGTTCATCAAGCCTTCTTTTATACCAAGGCATCATCATTAACAAAGTAGATTAGGGTTTCTTTTCAAGATTTGGGATTCAATAGCTTCATCATGCTTATTTATTCATAATTACATAATCACATCATTCATGCAAGCATACAATTAAGCATATAGAAGGGTTTACAATACTACTAACACATATCATTCACTATTAAGAGTTTACTACGAATAGCATGAAAACCATAACCTACCTCCATCGAAGAATTGAAATCAAGCAAGTTAATCCTCAAAGCTTAAGTGTTTTCCTCTTCTTCTCGATCGTTTCTCTCTCTCCCTTTTTGTTCTTTCTATTTTCTTATTCAAACCCTTTTTCTTTTACCCTAATTAGTATATAATTAAGAATAAAAGATGGCAATAATACCCCACTAATTAACTTAGGGTTACCTCTTTTAACCCCCAAGAATTTGAGTTATTAATATAAACCCACGAACTTTATAACTAAGGCAAGAATAGTCAAAAACGTCCCTTAAAACTTAGCCAGAAATCTGACTCCAACTGGGATTACGCAAGCTGTGACGGGCCGTCGCGCCTGCGACGGTTCGTCCTGCTGTCCGTCGCATAGTTCAGACACTGGATTTTGGGTGAATGGCCTGTGACGGTCCGTCCTGCCACTCCGTTACGAAGTTTAGAGAGTCGATTTTCAGTAACAAATTTCAGATTTTCTAAGTGTTTTGAAACGAGACCCTGCGATGGTCCGTCGTGCCCATGACGGTCCGTCGTGGGGTCCGTCGCTTCTGCCAGTTTTTCAAGAAATAAAGTCTGCTGCTCAAAACGACTAAACAGGTCGTTACATAATAATAATAATAATAATGATAATTTTAATAATAAAAATAATAACTATAATAATAATAATAATAATCATATTCATAATCATAATAATAATAATAATAATAATAATAATAATAATAATAATAATAATAATAATAATAATAATAATAAGAAGAAGAAGAAGAAGAAGAAGAAGAAGAAGAAGAAGAAGAAGAAGAAGAATAGTAATAATAACAATAATAACAATAAGAATAAGAATAACAACAACAATAACAACAATAATAAAAATAATAATAATAACAATAATAATAATAATTATTATAATCATAATAATAAATAAAATAATAATAATAATAATAACAATAATAGTCATAATTATAATCATAATCATTATCATAATCATAATAATAATAATAATAATAATAATAATACAACAACAACAACAACAATAATAATAATAATAATAATAATAACAACAACAACAACAACAACAACAATAATAATAATAATGATGATACTAATAGTAATAATAATAATAATAATTATAATAATAACAAAAACAACAACAATAATAATGATTATACTAATAATGATAATGATAATAATAATAATGACTATAATAATAATAATAATAATAACAATAAGAATAATACTAACAACAACAACAACAACTACAACAATAATTATAATAATAATAATAATTATAATTATAATAAATACAACAACAATAATAATAATAACAAAAACTTCTTCTCCCCAAATACTCTCAGCGCACATTAGCTAAACGTGAGCTGGAAGGTGACAATGGCGAAGGGAAGAGGTAGAGGACGAGGAACTGGTCGGAAAACACCAATTGAACGTTGGTAGCTCAGTAGGAACTTGTGTGGAAGAATTAGGGTTAAAGGAGCAGGAAGAAGTTCAAAAAAAGGAGAAGCAAGTTTTGAAGCTGAGGGAGCTAGAAGTGCTAAAGGAGCAAGGAGATTGAGCTTAAATTCACTAAGAACTAATGAGGAAGTGCTTTAGAACTCAGATTTGGAAGGGTTTGATGAAGAAAGCAAGGCTGATGGCAATGGAACAGTAACAAGGAATTCAGAGGAGCAGCTAAATGGAGAAGATGGAGATAGACATGCTGGTAATGAAAAGGAACAAAAAAAGGAGGCAAATGAATCATGGGTTAATATGTTTAAGAATAATCGTGTAGCAAGCAATGGAATGCAAATATCCTACTTTCCTCCACAGGTAGTTAATGGGCAAACGATGGTGCAGCTGGAAGAGAAAGAGGTACAAGAAGAAGAACAGAAATGGAAGTGTGCTCTCATTGCATATGTGATTGGAGAATGCCATGGGTACAATACTATGAAGAGATACATATTGATGAACTGGTCAAGTTTGAGTAAACCTGAAGTGTTTCTTCATGAGGATGGATACTATTTGTGACGACCCAAATCGAGCCGTGAGTGGCACCTTCATTTATCCTTCTATGTGAGCGAACCAACAAATCTGAACCCCAATCATTTACCAATAATAACTAGAAAATAATGCAGAAGACTTAAAACTCATTAACGAAATCAATTAACAACTTCTAAAATTTATCAATTAATATCCCCAAAATCTGGAAGTCATCATCACAAGAACATCTATCCTCAAATTACTAAGACTAAGAGTATCTAAGAAACTAAACATAAATAAAAAGCTAGTCCATGCCGGAACTTCAAGGCATCAAGACATGAAGAAGAATATCCAGTCCAAGCTAGAAGATTTAGCTCACCCTAAAATCTGGTGTAATGAAGACTGGCTAGAGTTGCGGTTGAGTTGAAGACGACGGCACGTTTGCTGCACTCCACAAATAACAAGAAAGAAACATACAAGTAGGGGTCAGTACAAAACACGGGTACTGAGTAGATATCATCGGCCAACTCGAAATATAAAACAGTATATATCAGATCATATCATAAATCAACTACAATACTCCATCTGTAGCAACAACATGTACAAGAATCTTTGATAAATAACGTCAAGTACACTCATGAGGACTCAAGCCTCCATATCATATCGTTTGGGAAATAGGTTCTTTAAATCGAGTATATTAACATCTTTCAAGACTCATTATCTTTATTCCTCTCGTGTCGGTACGTGACACTCTGATCCTCATCATACTATCCTGGTATCGGAACGTGACACTCCGATCCCCTAATACTATGTGTCGGAACGTGACACTCCGATCCCCTAATTCTACGTGTCGGTTCGTGACACCTGATCCCCTAATTCTACGTGTCGGTTCATGACACTCGATCCCCTAATTCTACGTGTCGGTTCGTGACACCTGATCCCCTAATTCTACGTATCGGTTCGTGACACCCGATCCCCTAATTCTACGTGTCGGTTCGTGACACCCGATTCCCTAATTCTACGTGTTGGTTCGTGACACCCGATCCCCTAATTCTACGTGTCAGTTCGTGACACCCGATCCCCTAATCTCATTCTGTTAATTCATCTAGCCTTCTTTCATACTAAGGCATCATCAATCTCATTACTTTAGTTCATCAAGCCTTATTTCATACTGAGGCATCATCAATCTCATTACTTTAGTTCATCAAGCCTTCTTTCATACTAAGGCATCATCTTTAACAAAGAGGTTTTTAAAGATTTAGGATTCAATAGCCTCATCATGCTTATTTTATCACAATTACATAATCACATTCATGCAAGCATACGACTAAGCATATGGAGGGGTTTACAACACTACCCAATACATATCATTCGCTATTAAGAGTTTACTATGAAAAGCATAAACCATAACCTACCTCCACCGAAGATTCGTGATCAAGCAAGCAATTTCCCCAAAGCTTTGCTATCCTCTTTGTTTCTCTCTCTCTTGATCGATTCTTCTCCCTCTCCTTGTTCTTTCTATTTTTCTTATTCATACCCTCTTTCTTTTACCCTAATTAGCATATAATTAAGTATAAAAGATGGAAATAGTAACCCAATAATTAACTCAAGGTTACCTCTTTTAACCCCCAAGTAATTGAGTTATTAATATTAAACCACTAACTTTATAATTAAAGCAGGAATAGTCCAAAACGCCCCTTAAAATAATTACAGAAATCCGACCCAGCCTGGGATTACGCAGCCTGTGACGGGCCGTCGTGCCTGCGACGGTCCATCCTGCTGCTCCGTCACAGAGTTCAGAGACTCAATTCCATTAAAAAGTCTGTGACGGTCCATCGTGTCCACGACGGTCCCTCCTGCCATTCCGTTACGAAGTTCAGAGAGTCGATTTCAGTACCCAAATTTCAGAATTCTAAGTGTTTTGGAACGAGACCCCCACGACGGTTCGTCATGGGATCCGTCGACTTAGCCAGTTTTTCCAGAAATAAAATCTGCTGCTCAAAACGACTAAACAGGTCGTTACACTATTTAATCAAGTTTCAGAAGATTTATGACATGAATGAGTTTTGGTTCTATAGGCTATATACTATCAACAATCGACCAATCATCCTGAAACAATGGTGTCCTGAGTTTTATTTTGGAAGTTAGTTTCTAACAGAAATTCCTTTGTGGGTGAATTTTCCAAAATTGCCTTTAATCTGTTGGGGTGTGGGATCTTTGAGTAGGATTGCAAGTGCTATTGGAGTTCCTCTTTTTGCTGATGAATGTATCACCAAGCAAACAAGAATCTCATATGCTAGAATGCTTGTTGAAGTCAATGTTACAAAAGCTATACCTCAGAAGATAGCAGTAGTGGATCCAAACGGGAAGACATTTATGCAAGAAGTAATGCTAGAATGGAGGCCTCAATATTGTGATAGATGTCAGAAGTCAGGGCATCTATTTCAAGTGGAGTCTGAACCAAAAGAAGAGATGCCAAAGAGAAGAAGACCATGCAAAAAAGTAACTCAAACTTGGCAGTATAAAAGTCCAATTTCACAAAAGACTGAGCAGAGAAGATAGATGAACAAACACAAAACAATCTTAGTCCACGGAAGAATAAGCAGGAGGAAGAACAGGAGATAGGAAAGAAGCTAGATCAGCAAACACCAAGGAATAATGATGAGCAGTCTTATGTAGATAGACAGCTGGAATTGAGTTTGGCTAACTTCCCTATATTGAAAGCTATACCAACAAGGAATGGTTTTGAGAGTCTTATGCATAACAAAATGGCTTCACTATCTATTGATAGAGGTGGAGCATCAAAGACTTGTTGATGAAGTTGTTTTTCTATAATGTGAGGGGTATGAATAAAAGGTATAAGAAGGAGATTAAGCTGCTTTTACAGAAGAATAAAGTCACTTTGGCAGGGCTAATTGAAACAAGAGTTAAAGAAAAAAATGTGAAATCAGTTCTTAAAGGGATAACACCATGGTGGAAGATGTTACATAATTATACTGATAGTCCTAATGGAAGAATTTGGTTGGTATGGGATGATAACTGGTATGAGATCAAGATGATTAATAGCTCAGCTCAACTTTTGCATTGTCAGGTTAATGAAAGAAGTAAAGATTATCAGTTTATATTGACTGTGGTGTATGGATTTAATAAAGTTGATCAGAGGAAAAGTTTGTGGCAAGAAATGAATACAATGTCAAAAGGTATTTCTCAACCTTGTATCATAGTAGGAGATTTTAATGCTATTCTTTCTACTAAGCATAGGTTAGATGGAGTTCCTGTTACTAATAATGAGATAAAAGATTTTGTTGAATGTATGAGAGATATGGGGGGTACTGAATTGCAGTGGAAAGGTAACTACTATACTTGGACTAACAAGCAATGTGGGAGGGATAGAATATCAAGTAGAATTGTTAGAGCATTTGGAAATGATGAATGGATGGATAAATAGGGACATGCTAATATAGGGCATGGGAATCCAAGCATATATGATCACAACTGTATGATGGTTTTACTGCAAAAAACTCAGCAACATAGGAAAGTTAGTTTTAAATTTTTCAATGTATGGACTAAGCATGAGGGATTTATGGAAATGGTGGAAGCTATATGGAAAAAAAGATTATGGAAACAACATAATGAAGCAAGTTTGGTGTAAGTTGATGAATCTTCAGCATGTACTAAAACAGTTAAATAGAAAGGAGTTTAAATACATTGGTAAACATATTGAGATGGCTAGATTGGAGATTGAAAAAGTTCAAGATCAACTTAATGAGCAAGCTACTGATGAGCTAATTGTGCAGGAAAAAGAGTTACTGATCAAACTTGAAAAATGGTCAATGATAGAAGAAAGTGCTTTGAGGCAGAAGGCAAGGATAAAATGGATCCAATTAGGGGATGCAAATGATAAATTTTCAGCTCAGTTATAAAGGAGATAAATCAAAAGAAGCAAATAAGAAATATTATGTATTTGAAGGGTAAGATGCTATATGATCCACATGAAATTCAAGATGAGTTTGTGTTGTTCTATAAGAGCCTTATGGGAACTTCAACAGGTAAGCTACCAGCCATTAATGCTCAAGTGATGAAAAGAGGCCCTACTTTGATAAAGCAGTAGGGGTTACAATTGTGTGCTGCAGTAACAGAACAAGAGATTTATGATGGTTTAAAGTTCATAGGGAATGATAAGGCACCAGGTATAGATGATTATAATGCTTTCTTTTTAAGCATACTTGGCAGATCATTAAAGGGGATATCATTGAGTCTGTTCAGAGCTTTTTCACAACAGGCAAGCTATATAAAGCATTCAATTGTACTCTAGTGTCTCTCATACCAAAAGTTCAGAATCCTAAAATTGTGAAAGAATATAGGCCAATAGCTTGTTGTACTGTGGTATATAAGATCATCTCCAAAGTGCTAAC